AAACTCAGAGTTTGGAGGGTTAGCGTGTTACATTAGTCTCATACAGTATCTTAATAACTGCAGATCTGTTTTCTACGCCGACATGTGTTTGGTGTTTGTCTCGCCGTGCTTTGGCAGTTTTCATTGTTCACATGTGACAGGTGGCAGACTGTTGTGTGTCTGACTTGTGGCAGCTGTTGTGTCATAAAATTAGCAGATTTGCTCGTGTTTTTTGGGGGGGGGAAGATGAATCCTCGTAGCCTCGGATCTGAGCAAAAAGACGGAGTTTCTGAATGAGACTCGGTCAGATGAGACAGAATGTAAATGCAGACGCAGGGTTTAGTTTCACCAATTATACAGTAGAGCGGCTCTGTGCAGCCTGAGTGACAAGCTGCGCCTTTCTGTTGCCGCGCAGACGAATTATGTATTAGGCCTCATCATCATTATTCCGCCGCTGACAATAGCGGGAGGACAAAAGGTCCTGACACCCTATCAGGCTGCATTTAGCATGTGTTATTCAGCATGTTTGAGCAGCTCCGCGGGCTCATGTCTGCCGCTCTGTGCGCCTCTGACAGGAATCCGTGGAGCATCGCTCACGAGAGGCCGCTTTCATATCTGCTCCGATCGGAATAATGATCGGATCGGGCGAGCGGAGAGGGACGAGTCGGAGGCCGTCAGTCTGCCGGAGAGAAAGGACAGAACTCAGACGGAGGCAGATGGAGACGGGGGGGAGGGAGGCCAGTCAGGAAATAGTAAAAAGAAAGAAAGTATGTGTGACAGAATGAGGTGGCTGCAGGAAAAACCTGCAACAGAGCTGAGAATTCAGATTCCTACCGCAGGTATCAGCTACAGATCTCTGTAATCCGGTTTAATCAGAATAACGACCACAGATTACACTCATCAGACACTTAGAATGCAGTCCTAACATCCATCACCAGACAGTTTAACTCTAGGTCGAGCTGCTTCAACATTTATTAGTTGAGTTTTACCGTCCTTAATAGAAATGACCACTATGACCAGTCAAACCATCAACACATCAGCTGCAGACTCCACCTACCAGACACTCATAATGCATCAAATCCAGCTGAACACAATGGCAAGTTGCTTTTACATTTAGCAGTTTAATCCTGAATTAAAATGAGATATGTCAACATCACTTTGACCAAACTACAGATCTCTGTAATCCAGTTCAATCTGAATAACAGCCACAGATTACACACATCAGACACTTATAACGCAGTCCTAACATCCATCACCAGACAGTTTAACTCGACGTCGAGCTGCTTCAACATTCAACAGCTGCTTCCTTCCTTAATTAAAATGACCATTAGTGTCACTGTGACGAGCTTCAGTTTTTACTTCAGAACCTGTCGCCTCATTCTGACCAGTTAAACCAGTCAGAGATCTCACTAGTCCAGTTTGGTCAGCTGCAGACTCCTCTTATCAGACACTTAGCATGCCGTCCTGACATCTCATCGCTGTTTTGAGACTATTTGTGGCTGCTTTGCGTTTCTTTGTGTTCGTTTGGCGTCTCTTTGCGGTAGTTTTGTGTCTCTCTGATTCCATTTTGAGGAGGCAGAACTCCAGTCTGAGATCCTGAAGCATCACTCTGACCAGTTCAAACCTAAAGTCTAAGAAAAGAAAGCAGGTGTGTTGAGCTGAATGCAAGATCTCTGGAACTAGAATTATAAGACAAGTGGAGGTAAAAGATGCAACTTGTTCTAAAGACTGATGATCTGAAGAGTTCTCTGAGCGGATCACAGATCGGGTCCGGCTGCTAAACGATAAACCAGCCTTCATGTGTGGATCGCGTGCAGCTTCTGTACCTTTTGTTTAAAAAAAACCCACAGCGTTGGTTTGTTTTCTGACCTCAGACCTCCACCTCCCCCTCTCCTATTTGTCCTCGTCTCGTTTTCTGTCCCTCACCAAGGAAGAAAGAGAAACCGGGCCAGATCGGGGAGGAGGGGAGGACGAATCGCTGGAAAGAAAGACAAACGAGGGACGACTCATCGCAGTGATTTAATCTGAACTGAAACGCCGGAGAGCCGCTGCAGCCACGGAGGACGGGGAGGAGCCTCGGACTGAGCTGTGGACATCCAGGAGAAGATAGAAACCCTCAGAACATGTATACAACACAAAGCTAACACACAAAGCAGCAGCTGCAGACAGAGAGTCTCTGCTGGTTTGAAGTGAGACCGAGTCGGGGATGAAAGGAGGACTACGAGGCAGAGACTCGGTGGCTTCTGAACTGTGAAGGGCGAAGAGAAAATAGATTAAAAGAGGCAGAGACAGAAGCAGAGATGCTTGTCAGGAGAGCTGAGCGCTGTATCGCTGCAGCATAGATATTTAATGAGAAATTAACTCGAGCACTGTCTCTGCTGCTTGATAGAGAAAAGAAAACGTTTCTCCACTAAGAGGCGGGCGATAAAACCTCATTTACTCTGATTTAAAGTCTCTTAATTCATTGAAAAATAGTTTAACCTGCAGCTCCACATGTGCAGAAACAGGCGAGTAAAAGAAAACCCAGAAAGAAGCTGCAGAAAACAGGCTTTCTGTTGGAAACTATTAGTCTGATCATTTAAATGTGCAGCACAAAGCTGATGAATGCAGAGACGGATCTGAATGACATCCAAAACAAAATAAAACTGCTCTGGACGTCTTGGCCAGACGAGAAATAGCTTTTCAAAATCATCTTTCAAACATTCTTGAATGACTCATGCTTTCCAAATAAAGTTGAACAAAATCATCTCCTGGTTTCTTTTCATATATATATATATATATGTATGATGTATTGCGGCCATAATAATAAGAGAATTGCACAGATT